TGCAATATAAAATTGTAAAAAATAAATAGAAAACTAACCATAAATAGGAATGTCGTAAGCAACAGCTTTTACTACATCATTGCTTTCCCAAAGATATCGTTCTCGACCCTCTTCATCAGTATACATACTAACTGATTCACTGAATTGAATATCAGCAACGACTTCAAGATGTGGTAGCTCCCAAGGATTATCGAAATTTAGCAATAACCAGGGAACTCTACTTAATAACCATCCTTTCTAACAATTAAACTTAAATTTAGAATAAATGAATGTAATGATTTCATAGTGAGAAATAAAAGTCCAATAACTTTGTTGAAAGATACCATAAGTATATATAAGGCCGTATCCCTAAGCTGGATAAATCAATGTAGCTAAAGAATCCATGTAATAGGTGGCAAGACGACCGAGACCTCCGTTACCAAGAGCAACATCAACTTCTTCATCAAGGACATCCTTCATTCTGAAACCTAAATTCTTGATACCCTCTACGAAGGAAAATAAGTCACGTACAAAATTTGAAAGTAATGTGCATATTAAAAAAAAAAAAAAACGATATAAAATAAATTTGAATAATGGGTTCAAATTAATAAATACCTCCAAAACTTTCCTTTAATCCCAAATTAAGAAGGGTATTATCCAGTGATCTACCCAATAATAATTCCAAAGACGATAATAAACGCGCTTTTGGGTCATCTTCGGTGTGATTCTAAAAACACAAAACAGTCCTTTCGTTAATTATATATTAAACCAAATTTGTTAATTCCGAAAAATATCTAGTTTATATTCTTGTAATAATACGAATATAAGGAAAATATGCACATGGTATTATACAAATTTTGGACTAAAGAAAAACTCAGAACAGACCTGCTGGGTATCACTCCGTCGTTCGATTAAACACTATATACGTGTGAGCGGTAGCTTGATAAGCACTAAAGTTATCGATATTATAGGCGGATCTGGCGAGCGTTGTGGTTACGTGATGAAGAAAAGATTTTTGAAGGCTTTCTTTGTCTGCGATAATGTAAATAAAATTACAATTCATAAGGACACGACATAAAGCTTAAGGCAATGCAAGTTATTTCTTCAACCATTGTTACACACCTTTCCCATAAAGATAAAATTTTTGGATCCAACTTGATTTTCGCTCTTCGTTAGTCGGTGAATTGCTAAAGATCCGCAAAGAATGACATCGTACCAGGAGTCTTTCTCTACGTCGGAGCTGAAGAATCTTGAAAGCCCCAGAGAAAAAGTGGTGTCGAATAATTAAAAATAAAGACCAGTAAGATTCCTCGCCTGGAAAAACTTAACGCTCTAAAAACAAAACCCGGAAAAGATAGATCTGGAAATGGGAATCAAAATCAGTATAAAAAAAAAAAATAAAAAAATTAGAACTAAAAGAAAAAGACAAGGCAATTCATGCCAGATTCGTCTAACACCTAATAGGATGGTTCAAGAATAGAAGAATCTAGCGCGATCTCAGCCGAAGGAAGCCCAAAGACTCGGGAAGATCCGAAAACGAAAATGCAAGCGAAAATAAGCCGAAAATAGCATTAAAGAAAAGTGGACGAATGAAAGATTCAAAGGGTCACAAAGCTCGCAAAGCGCTAAAATAAAGTTAATGGTAAGGGCACTGACATTAATTACTTGGTTAACCCACCTCTACATAAGATTATTAAATATTTCATAATGAAATTAGCCAATTAAAATTGGATCACATGATATACACAACTACCATATAGCATTCTATTAAATAAATCCCTACAAATAACCTATAATTTGATCTACTTTTACTTGACCTCTTAATAATTTAATCCTATATAATTAATTCTAGTAGCCTCAATATTATTATGTTTTTTAAAGCTACAACTAGGGTTTGCAATGGGCCGGGCCAAACCCGGTAATTTGTGGGTTGGGCCGGGCCTGGGTTTTATAAAGAGGCCCGATAAAACCCGACAATACCCATTAAAAATATATAGTTTTTACTAGTTAC